TGGCTACCATGCATTCAGACACTCAGCAATCTGCAGAGGAACGACATGGAGCGTGAAGTTCTGCCAATGACCAGAGCCAACTTGTGAGCCATGAGCAGGGATCGTCTCACCAGCGGGCTGTCCAGTGCCTACCAGTCCTTCAGACAGTCACAGCCCTGGCTGTCTGTCCCCAGTTCCTGACTATAGAGTTAAGGACGATGAAGGTTTTAGGCCATCAAGTGTGGGGTCACTTGTCACACAGCGGTGGGTAACTAGTACCCTTCTGTCTTTGCTCAACATGAACTAAACCAGCACAAATGTCCCACACAAATGCCCCGATGGGCCGTCTTTGCCACAGTCATTTCCGAAGACTAGGGAGTTGAATGAAACCTTGTTTAATTCTCTCATCGTGTAAGAGTTTGGAAAAATGTTTCTCTTTTCCAGATGTGCAGAGAAGGGCGAGCTCAGGGCAAGGAGAAACACCTTGAGCAGTTGGATCGATACTCAAGATAAACACAGAGAACAGAACCCACTTTTCAAGGGTGGCGAATTGCTAGATCTGTGTTTACCCTCTTTTATCTACCTTGAAATTTGGCCTCAGTTATGAAAACTATAAGTCAAAGAAGGAACTAAACAGAGAACACGGAGCCCCAAGGCAAGTGCTGGCTGTTGGGCTGTTACTTGAGAATCCAGGGGCTGTCAGGGTTACTGTCGGTTTTGCTATCTCAGAACTTAGAGGAGTGCAAATCCCAGCCAAACACAACAGACCTGAAGGAGGAGCCTTTGATGCAGCCCAGGATGGAAAAGCTGCAGGAAGCAAGTGACCTCCACACTCTGCTCTGAGCACACAGCCTCTGGATGGCCGGGAGGGTGGGGCCCATCTCACTCCTCGCAGCACCCAAGGTGGGCTTCGAGGGGAACATCTCATGGTGGCATTTGCTTGTATTGAATCAGTTTACAGCGCCACACTTGCCAGACCAATCCATCAGCAAATATTCCAGGAAAAGGGACCTGGTCCTCCACTGTCACCTCCCTAGCTCCTGTCAAATATAGTCCCACCTGAAGGTAGGCCATGGGCACTCAGCCACTGCCAGTCCCGGGATGTATCTGTGGGTGACGCTTGCAGGGTTCACCTCAGCTTTTATCAGCCATAACTCAGTAGCTATGCTGATCTGTCTGCAAGGCTCATACTCCTCAGGGCCTATGCTGGGAACCAAGAGGGCCATGGTTCCTTGCCCTCAAGGCCTTCCAGTTCACTGCCTTCCTGCCTGTGCAAGTTGTACCCTGTCACGGGCGGTGAGGCTTGCTTTGTCCCTCAGTGCCAATCATGCCTACCAGGCCTCTGGGCTGAGCTGCAACCTCCTTGCTTTGACTTTGCTGTCCTTACTCAGAACTCAGCACTGGGAATTCCAAGGGAAGCCTTGCAGCCTGCTGCCTGATCGTGCAATCAACAATGCTGCTCGCGGCTTTCAGATCATTCCTTGGCTTTGCAAGAACAACAACAAAAGAAGTCAGCTGGCCAATCTATACAGCATCTCAAGAGGCAGAGATGACATTTTTCTTCCCCAAGGCTAAGTCTGGTGGGAAGCTATTCTAGGTACTAGAAAGCATCCTTGAAATATTTCCCCACATCTGGGCTGTGGTGGTGCATGCCTTTAATCCCAGTACTCAGGAGGCAGAGGCAGGTGGATCTCTGTGAGTTTGAGGCCAGCCTGGTCTACAGAGCTAGTTCTAGGACAGGCTCCAAAGCTACACAAAGAAACCCTGTCTTGAAAAACAAACAAACAAAACATTTCCTATAACCCACACATCTAACACCAACTCTCTGGGCCCTGCCGTCCGCCATATTGGTATCGGTCTCTTCCCACCTGTCCTAGTTAGGGTTTCCACTGTTGTGATTAAACATGACAGAACAGATATTGAGGAGGGAGGGTTTATTTGGCCTACACGTTCTGATCACAGCCTGTCATGTAGGGGAGTCGGGGCAGGGACCCCGAGGCAAGAACTAAAGCAGACGCTGTGAAAGAATGTTGAGTCCTGACTCTCTGTCTACAGATCACCCAGCCTGATTTCTAACACAGCTCAGGACCACCTGCCCAGGGAAGGCACCAGCCATGGTGGGCTGGGCCCCTCCCACATCAATCATGAATCAAGAAAATGCCTCTCGGTATTTCCCACAGGCCAATCCCCACAGGGGATCACGGGTCATGTCTCGGAGGGTCAGTGAGGTGGTTGACCTGAGTGGCAGCTCCTACCTTGACCAGATGATGAAGCCGGAGAGTTGGAGTGATTCAGCCTAAGAGATGCCAGCTAAGAAAGCACCTCTGGGCATGTGCCAGACAGTGGGATCGAGGCCAGAATCCTTCCGTTCTCCCCCGTTCTGAGAAGATTCCAGAAAGTGCCCCTTGTTCACTGCCTGGCTTGGGCTGCCTCTTGCCTGCTGTGGGTCTTTCAAGCACTGTGTGCTTCTCGTTTGTCCCGCCCCCATCTCTGTCCATCTATACACAAGTGGTACTAAGTCCAGTCACATGCCAGGTGGTCTCGTGTTTGTGTGTGGAGTGCAGCAGATCCTCAGAGTACGGTTAGTGTGAGCGTCATGTCTGCAGCGGGCACCCTCATTTCCCCTGTGGAGATGGTAGTGATGCTGGTGAGAACGTGCCAGTGCCAGCTGATGGGATGCCCTCCCTGCTGGTGCAAGCCCTTGGCATGCCAGTTATTAAGATCTGAATTTATTTTTATTGACATGGGACCACACTGTGTAGCCCATGTTGGCCCCAAACTCATGATTCTCCTACCACAGCCTTAGAATTAATCACTGGTATTAGAATGTAGGTCTTACAAGTCCTACAGCAGCTCCTGTTTTGAGGGCTTTCCATCCTCCACACAGCAATTAACAGAAGTGGGGCGGTTGACTGGAGAGCCTGACCTCAAGAATGGCTTGGTTCATTTATGGACTCAGGGCTTAACAGCATGAAGGAGACACTCTGTAAAAACGGTTCTGTCTTGCCTTGGTCTGGCTACTGTGAAGCAGGCAGTTTGTTTGGCCAGTCACTTCCTGCTGTGCTGGTCTGCTCCACCTAACATGTTGGAAACATCCACCGTGGGCTGTGAGCCCTGAAACAGTGAGCCAAGAGAAAGCTTCTTTCCCTTGTCGCTGAATTAACTTGGGTATTTTGTCCCAGCAATGGAATTCTCATGTGGAGCAGCTAATGCTGGAGGGTCCCTGATGGCACATAGTTCAGACGCCTTTGCTGCGTGTTTGGGGGAAGCACTGGAGAAGCGTGGAGGTGCAGGTAGCTTGAGAATCTGGAGAATGTTCCAACGGAGCTTAATGGGCGTCCTGATAGAGACTTGACCTGAGTAATGGCTAAGTTTCGGTGGGACTGAGGATTCTGGTAGGAGGTGGACTAGAGGGTGCACACACATCCACTTTCTCTCTCACACACAGGCACACACACACACACTCTTATACACACTCTCACATACACACTCTCTCACGCACACACAGTCTCTTATTCTCTCTCTCTCTCTCTCTCACACACACACATACACACACACACATACACACACACATACACACACACACACTCTTATACACACTCTCACATACACATACACTCTCTCACGCACACACAGTCTCTTATTCTCTCTCTCTCTCTCTCACACACACACACACACACACACATACACACACACACACACACACACACACACACACACACACACGGCGTGCTCCTTGACCAGCAAGGAAGAACGACCACAAATCGAGGATTCTTCTCTGATCACACTTTGTTGGAGCCTCTTGGTTGAAGGGAGAGCGGAAGCGAGAGAGAGCGAAAGCCCAGAGGCAGCTGCTTTTATAGGGTGGAGGGACTCGAGTACCATCTTGATTGGTGAATACCATTCTGCTGATGCCCAGGGCCTCGGGATTGGCCAGGGACAAAAGGCTCAATTGCGCATGTGCAGGCAAAGGGCAATCGGCCCCACGTGGCAATACCAAATATGCACCTGATTACCTCCAAGCTGCAGGAACGCTGGCGCCATCTTGTAATGGTGATTTCTCCGGACGGCTCCTTACACACACACACACACACACACACACACACACACACACACACACACA